TTTTTTTTTTTTTTTTTTGCACGATGCTAACAAACACTTTAGACCAAAAAATTGTCTAACATATGGTCAAGATTAAAAAGTCAAATTTAGTTGGGCTAGACTTTGTGCATAGGATATGTATGTTATTGCTTCCTCGGTGTTTCACATCGATCTATCTCTAATGAGAGTGTGAATGCTCGTATTGGGCTTGTGAAGGGAGAGGATATATCTCGATTCAAGTAAACTTAGCTACGAATAACGTATGTCCCTTTTTAATATGTAATTTAGGATCAATTTGACAAAATATTTATAAACGGAACTTCTAATGTTCTCGTTATTTTCTTTGTTGACAATAATACAATTATTAACTTTTTGATAATAGCTCTTTCTGAAAAAAAAAATAAATAAATAAAATAAAAATGGAGCCAAACGACCCTTGGTTAGCTTCTATTCAGGATAAGTTCTTCATTAAAAAAGTAAAATAAAATAACTTGAGTGGAGGTGGGTAACTGAGCACGCGCAAGTCACGTGATATTAGACCATACACGCATCCAGCGAAAACATTACATTATACGCATGTGGCGTCACGTGAATGGTCCATCCATGTGGGCCATGGGCCTTTTTTTCTTTCTAAATCTTTTTTGGGCCTAAAGCCCTTAACGACCACAATTTTTTATTTTTTCTTTTCTCTCCTTATTATTAAACTTAAAAAGAAAATTAACAAAAATGCATGTTACTAGAGTCAAAGAGATGGCCCATTCTTCCTCTCTTTTTTTAAAACTAAAAGTATATCAATTTGTATTGTTATTATTGTTGTTACTTAGTCTTCATCGACCATTCAAAAACAATTTCTATAAAGTCATAAGAAATGCAGACTTGTTTATTTCATCTAGCATCTTCGAATACGAGCAATAATTTTTCCCTATGACATACATGAGTATTCTTTATAGTACATAATGTTGTCTATATATTCACGACATAGTTTATATGTTAGACTAAATCTGGTGAAAACATAAAGATACTTATTCGTTATCGTGTCTAGTCATATCCAATCTAACATGCTGACATTCTTAATATATTCGTATGGATAGTTAACCAAATGTAATATGCACGTATTGTAAAGAAATGGTAAGAATGTGCCCATTTGCCTCCACATATAATGCTTACATTCAAACATATGATTAAGAATAGAGCGACATGCATATAATTTATCTAATAGTTTGTCTCGTATTAACATCCAATATCCAATGTTTCAATTTGTCAAATTGTCTCTCGCCCGCATACAAATACTATATAAATAATTTAAACGGCTTAAAATGAAAAAAAAAAAAAGGGTTTTGTTCTTTTTCCTTATTGGTGGCTCGAGTGCATGAAATGGCTAGTCCTATGTTGTTTGGGAACCACATCTATTAAAGCATGCATGTCACATATCATGGAAAGGTTCAACAATTATTTTCTATTTTTAATTTTTTATACATGTGCCTACAAACATTATTAAAGCTACAAAAAATAATTCCTAGAATGTGAGTTGTTGAAAATAATCCCAAATGGTTGTTGGGTTGCCCGCTTTTGGACAGACCAAACAGGCGGAATAAAGCTGGACTAAGATTATAATAAACATATATATTTGTTTTGTTGTGTTTTTAGGGTGGGTTTTTTTTTTTTTTTCTGTGACAATTATCAAATTCAAAATTTCTTTCGACTTTTGAGACCTATACTCGGAGTTCAGCTACGAAGAAAACAAATTTAAACGGACATTACGATTTGAAGGTTCAATTTTCCGAGTTCGACTCAAATACGAAAATCTCAAGTCTGATCATACTTTCAAGACGCGTACAAAGAGTATGGTTGCTTGGCCTCACTCGATGAGTTCCTTGGTGGTCTGTTAGTATCAATGAGCCGAATAATCCTCGCATCTCCAAGGGATGCAAATGTCCTCTTAAGATATTGATTGCTTGACACGTAGAAAGACTTGTCTAATATAATCTCGTTTTTAACTAAATAAAAAATTGCAAGCCTGAACAAGTTAAGTGATTTATGAGGTGCTTAGTCGAACATATAGGATTTTTTTTTATCCGTAGTAAACTTGCAATTTGAGCAAATTACAATTATCCAACAATAAAAGTGAAAAGCAAATGGAAAATTAGGTAAAAGACGGTTGAACATCAAATCGCATACAACTCTTAGTTGCAAATTGAAGCCCGTATACACTTTGCCAGCTGGGTTGGGTCGGTCAGCAACCTGATTCTTCCACCATCAATTTGTGGGCTCACCCTTCATACATGGGCTTTGGGTCCTATTCGGACCGTGGAAACAACTTGGGCTCGACCCATTTAATAAAAATAATTAAGCAAAGTGAATCCTTTTATATAACACAACTGGGCGTTTTCTGGTTCAGAATTTCTTTTTGCATGAAAAAAGGAAGAGAAAAGATTTAAAAAAACAACAGAAATAGAACACCAATTCAAAAATTGAAGAACTAAACATCAATAATTAGCCTTCTAAACGGACTATATATAAAGCCGTCCCGTCTCAGTCGCCTAGAGTCGAACACGTATTAGCTCAAAATCACAATTATGCCTCTATATCTACAATGTCACATGTCGACCTCAAATCTTAAAAACCGTATGCATCACTCTGTATTACCTGATATGCCGGAAACTGCCTTCGGTTACCTGGTATCTGAAACCAGGAAGTAAATCGAAGCCTTTTTTTTTTCCCTTCATATGTATCTATAGTAAAGCATTCCAAAGAGCCTCTTCCCCTTCGCCACATTTTTCGTGTACAAATTTAATCTTTTCGACTGACTTGCAAATTCCACTGCAGCTCCAGTCGAAAGAGGCAATACAGACGTTGCCTGCTTGTGCTTTCCATTCACAATCTGTAAATAGCAACAAAATTTATAGTCAAAAGAAGTACAACGTGAGCAAAAAAGGTAGCTTCCAAGCTTAGCCAAACATGCTTATCTATACCTGGTGGAGTACCACAGCACATACTGCGTTCATCAATGTGCTCGACTTCGAGACCAATAAACCAAGCACCAAGTGACACGTCTTCGTTCGCATACTTGTGCAATATGGGCCTACATTTACCATTCATAAATCCAACAATTATTACATATATCCCAGAAAAATTTATGAATAAAATGAAACCCACCAACACAAATGAACAAGCTTGGTGTGATATTCTTCCTGTCCATATTAGCACCAAAAAAAAAAGGATGCGACTGGGCTAGACCCAATAAAAAGATAGAAAAAAAAATGCTTACTGATTAATTGAGATGTAGTTAGCCAAATCCTTAGAAATAGCATAAATCTGACCAGTTGCGTGTCGGAAGTATTTATTTCCTTCTTCTCCAAATTTCCAAAACTCGGGTTCATGGTATTTAACATTCCTGGATAACACCATGGAGGTAAATGCCTAAATAACACTGATGCAAGAAAGTTACAAATATGAAAGTACTGTGGAAGCTCTAAGATTACGTTTGAGAAAGAACAGGTCCAGATTTCATACACCCAACGTAAACTCTGGGTTTCGATCGATGACGAGCAAGAGTCGCTGCTAGTGTACCTGTAGGAATGAAAAAACCTAGTTACCAAAGTTGAAATCTAGCCTCAAAGTGATAGAAAAGTGGCCGGTGTTTACCCAAATTGACGTGGACGTCATCGTCAACCTTGACATAAAAATCGGCATCCCATTTTTCAGCAGCAGTGGCAAAGAAAATTTTTGTTTTTGCCGATAATTCATGATATCCTTCAACATGCTCCTACAACATAACATAGTTTAGATTTTCAAACCTTTAAGCTCACACATATATTGGGGGAAAATGAAAAGGATGTTCGCATGCTTTTTACCAGCCTGAGAAAGTCCTTGTGTTGAGCTTCTTCAGAGTCGAGAGCTCGATCCAGGATGCTCTTAGATGTTGCACTGGATCAATCAACAATGTTATTTACCAGGTCAGTTTCATATCACGCAATGATTGCATAAACATCACTATGCAATGCACAAAAGACGACTTGTTGAATTGTGATCCATAGCCTTTTAAAAAATAAAGGTAAGGATAATACGTGTATAGGTAAAAAATCATTGGCACTATCATCAACAGCGATATTTATGAATCCTCAACATTGGACAAGACTCAACAATCCAAAAGCGAAGATTTTTAGCTTCTTCTTGTTCTTTAATGTTGTCCGATGCTGTCAAGTCCATCGTACCAAACAAGCCATAAAAGTTATTTAGGAGGAAGGGATGGTGCATAAACACGTCGGTATTACAATTTTCAGCTGGACCTCAACAAAGAAGCTAGCATTCAAATTTGCCTCTCACATTTCCACAGAACATAGGCATATGGGGCGGGGTTTTTATATGGCTTGGCTGATACTTTGTTTCTTATTCTTCCTTTTCCCAGAAAAGAAAAGCAACACAGTTTTGCATTAGTTGCAGATGAGAGTGAGACATAATCTGGTAACAACCTCACATTACACGTAGAAAACACCTTAAATTTCATCAAATATTTCACTCTCAGTAAACATTAGCATATATACCAAGAGAATCATCATCCTTAATGTGCAGTCAAGTGTTTCACATATCATATCGAGCTACATAAAAAAGTTTCATGACTTTCCATTCTCTTGCAACTTCAGGCTCATGTAACTAACAATACTTCTTGGGCGTGTTTAATAGGCAATGTTAGGAATGACTTTACACTATAGTTAAAAAGTCCGAATTTCTCTTTCTTCAATAATATTTTCTAGTGTTATACAATCTTCCTTACCAAAAGTACCATTTAAGATAGCAGAGTTCCAAATAATTGAGTTGATAACAAATATGGAAGAGTGATCACCTGTGTCCAATCATAAACCGGACAACAATACCCTTCTCTTGCTCCAATCTCTGAAGTTGTTCGCCTGACCAAATCAGGCAAGTTGTTTGCTTACTTTTCTTTTAAGTAAAGAAAAAAAATCTATTTTAATAGGGATCACGACTCGGGATCACCTTGAGGCATCCAAGTTTCTCTAACAGAATCACGCCTCTTCCTACTACTGAAAGCCGTATTTATACCAATTACCATAAATGCCTTCTTCTTTGGAGGCCCCTCGTTAGAATTTACAGCCGACCCGTCAGTCCTTCCTTTCTCCTGAACACCCCTAGTGGCTGCTAACTCCATCTGAAGCATTGAAATTGACTTGTCCAGTGATCTGAATGTACCTCCCAATAAAGTTCAGCATATTTTACACTTTAAATGCAAAATTACAGTAAACAAAAGAAAAAATAATTCAACTTATAATGTAATTAGGGAATTTTCAACTCACTGAATTGCTTCATGGGTTTTGTACACCTCATTCATTATATTCTTATCTTGACCTCCTGCTTTCTATCCACACCCAGAAACAAACAAACTTTCAAATTTTGAATCTTTAACATTTTTAGTGAAATTTCCACATATAAATGCATATTCAGAACTCATAATCTGTAAAACTTGACTTCCAATTTACAGCTTTTTAGTCATGAAATCAAACCTTTTTCTTGGCAGTGCAATCCTCAGACACGATCTGCAGCTCTTGTTCACGTCTACGCTGAGCTATGAGCTGATTGTTCGATTCCAACGGAACCCACAATCTGTAAAACCCAGATCAAACGTAAAATCATCTTAAAACCCCAAAGTTGATAATTCACAATACAAAAAAAATAAATAATCAAATTCTTGAATTACACATACTTGTTGGTGAAGAACATGCCAAGAAAGAAGAAACAGAGAGAGAAAATTGGGACCCATTTTGCAGACACTTTTCCATAGCTTCTATTCATCATAATTTTCCTCCTTTCTCTTTCAATATAAATGCCAAATTCCAGTTATATAAAAGTGTATTTGTATACAATTGTGTAAAGTAGAAAAGATATAGACGTGAAATGGGGCGAAGATGGAGCTGGAATATGGATTTTTTTCCTTCCCCTTTTCCCCTTTCTTGTGGTGGGGTGGGGGACGGGACAAGGACAGACGATATGGGCAATGGGGAAGATGAATTTGACTTTGGAACCGTCATTGGGTATAATTCGCAAGTTTGGCAAATTTAGGTCCATTTCGTCATCTCCTCGGCCCCTACCTGGAAATGGAATTGTGTCAATTGACTTTATTTAGGTATTATTTTCATTATTTTTCTAATTAATATAAGGGATGTTACCTATTCAAAGGTTAATGGATTCTTAAAATTTATGAATTCATGTGAATTTCATAATTTTGAGCAGAATGCAGCAGAAAAAGAATTAAAAATAAGATATTTTATTAATATATATTTTTATTTATTTCTTAACTTGATTTAATTCAAGTCTTTTATTTTTTTTCAAATATATGAAGAACTTGACTATATATTTGGGGGCATGATTTCCAGTTAAATATATAGGGTCGGACTAATATTCCTAAAGAGTTTTGGTAATCGGGTAAATTGTAACTGTCTGTATTCACC